GGGGGGGGCGGCCGCCGGCCCTACGGGCGCCAAGGGAGCCGCTGCTGACGCGAAGAGGAGAGAGGACTCCAAACGCAGAGCGAAGGAGGACAACGCCCACCTCAACGTCAAGAAAAAGCCGTCTAAGAACGCCGTCAGCGTGCAAGAGACGGCCGCGGCTGCCATGCACTCGGTGGCGTCGGGACTTGGACTGCCCCCCGGTGGATTGAGCGAGCTATTTCGGCCAGCGTCCGAACCCGCCCCCGCCGCGGCACCTTCATCGCGGGACATCTTAGATGACAAGACCGCAAAATTGGTGTTTTCGACACCTTGTTCAAAACTTTCCAAGCCGCCACCAAAAATCTCAAACAAGCCAAAGCATAGGCGGCAGGCGGCGACAGCACGGCGCTGGAAATGGTCGGTTTTTTGGAAAAAAATATTGCGAAGATTAGAACCGAGATGGCTGAATGGGACAAGAGTCCCCTTTGAAGGACAGCCCGCGGTCCCTCCCCGATTCCACATGTGCAAGAGCGATCGATTGTGTTTTAGCGCCGGTTGGTGTAACATCTTTCGTGTGTGGCGGGGGAGGGAGGGGGCAAATCGCTTTCACTTGCCGTACCGTTTGTCTTTTGTCGGGTGTGTGTTTGACGAGTGCGCCACGTGTAGAATACGCATGGAGAACGCGTAGCGCACGCTTGATGTTCGAGTTTTTTTTTAGCCACGTACAGCAGTACCACCTATCATTTTTTATGGTGGCGTTGTTTACAGATGACTAGGGGGGGGCAACAGGCAGAGAGAACGTGTGGCGCACGACCAAAGTTCATTTTTTTAAGCCACGTACAGCAGTACCACATGCTATTGTTGGTCGGTGGGTTTATCACCAACCAACGTCTGCATTCGTAGATGCTTCGGAAACAACGTCTCCTCACGACGCGAACGTAGTCAAATACAACGTAAAAAACGTTTTGAACGCGGATCCATTCTCGATATGGTTATCCCGGGCTGTGGGAGCTGACCGTCTACGCCATGATGCCGTTCAGGCAATACTGTCTCCCTAGAGACAACATATCGTGAGGTCAGAAAAAAAAAAACTCTGTTACCATCTCGCATTACGCAACTATGACATGAACAAATTCCCCGACACAGGGGGGAGGGTGCTGACCCTTACCCTACACGCCCAACGTTGTAAAATAAATGCGTTTTGAAACCTACAATCTCCTTCGACCTCTCTGCAACATTCGAATTTTCTCGCGCAAGAGATGCACAACGCAGGAATGACACCCAAACAAACGACGTCATGAAAAGCGACAACACTTACCGAAACAAAACGAAACAAGACGAAGTCTTACCGGACACCACTCAGGCATTACCCCGGTTGATGATGTTTGTAACGCATAAAACACGACTTCCGCAAAATTGTCTCCACGTCCTCGTAGAGGCGCATATGGATTTGGCGCCCGACCCTCTCCCCCCTTAACAAAAAATTTTCTCACCCGCCCGTGCGCCTTCCCTTCCCTTTCACCCCCCCCACGCCCTACCCCACCAAAGGCGTTGCATTCCCGACCACCATTGTCCACATCCCCCGCCCCGGCCACGGCCCACGCTCCTCAGAGGCCACCACCGCCACATTTGCCTCGTCTCGTCCATCACCCACGTAGTACGTCCTCGGGACCCACCCACCCTCCACCGCAGCCCGCCCGCGTTCGACCCCTTACGTCTTCCTCGCTGCGTTGCGCACCAAGTTGTGCTTTGGGCGGTACTGGCGCTTGTTGTCCAGCATCATCGTGATCCCCTTGCGCGTGGAGACTTCGCCTGACCTGGTCGGTTTCTGCGCGTCCTTGGTGGTCGTGCTGAAAGATCCTGGCAGAGTCTTGTCGCCGAGTAGGTGGGGGCGTGCCTGGACCACCTCCGCGTCTTCTTCCGACCGTTGGATTGGTGTAACCTTCTCGTCCCGGAGATAGTTGTGGAGGCGGAAGAGCGCCGTGATGAAGTCGCATCGCCCAGCGAACTGAACACGCAACGGCTTCCACAGGATGCCCCACTGGCCGACGAGAATGCCGAACGCTTGCTCGATCCTGACTCTGAGTTGACTCAGATAGAAGTTGAACGCGTCTTTGTCCAGCGGCAGTCCCCTCCCTGGGTACGGAGTCAACAGGTGGTCGCTTAGGGGGTAAGCCGCGTCTCCGAGCATGTAGAACCCTGGCGGCAGGTTTTGCACCGCTGTGGATAGATCCGAATGGTTCCATGCCGTCCAGTCATTGGTCGAGCCGGGTGCAATGCAAGACATGCTGCAAAACCGGTAGTTGGCATCGCATGTCGCCTGTACGTTCATCCCGTAGCCGCAGTTGCTCCCAGAATAATACGAGAAAACGTTCGGAGTGTTGGGGGCAGTTGGAGCAAGAGTCTTCACGAAGAGGCCATCCCCCGCAGCTACCACACCTTGAAAGGCGCCGCCCGTGCTTTTTTCCTGAGGAGAGACATGGCAGGCGGGGAGGGACACAACAGAGGCGCTCTTAGATTCGTTAAAGTTTGATTTTCGGGCAGCGGCAAGTCCATCGACTACCCCAGAAAAAACGTACAGGTGTGTGCGAGCAATTAAAGACAAGCCCTCTCCTAGGCACGCCAATCAATACAGCAGTGCGACTGTTCGTGCCAATGTTCCCTGCAAACTGGAGCTCATTCCACCACGCATCAAGCCAATACGTGAACACAAGATATTATGGTTTCCCCGTGCTGTCACAGGTGCTTCCCGGTCGCTCCTCGTTCGGTGCGTCTAGACAAGCAGGATATTCTGCCGAGCGGAGGATCGACATGCATGCATCCATGCAATCGGCGTCATTTGTTTTGGGCCAGGCTCTGAAGCAGTAGTACCTTGTTTATTTACCATACACGTTAGGAGGCCTGTAGCCTACGGAAGAGGTGAAGTTGAATTGCTCTTATGACACCAGACCCGGTAGGCATACCACAGCACAACACCTGTCTGTCCATTTTCGCCGCCTTGCCTGTTTTTGGCCATGTTCGCACGTACGTCGGTTCGCATACTGTAATCTATATTCGAAGTAATGTTGAAACTAAACCGCCACCAAACACGATCATGTGTTCGTTCACAACATCATATAATAGTCACCTGTCTGGTATGCAAGCATGCAATCTACCCTGCTGCTGTTAACTATTTAGTGTGTCATTTCCGCACCTCCCGTTCTGCCGCCTGCCGGGTGCACTCATCCTCGCTCTGCGGAAAAAAGAACGGCCCAACCTCTGCTGTGCTGTTGATGGCATCCACCACCTGCCACAAGATGCTGAAGACCGTCTCCTTGGACACGCCGAATAGCACGGCGACATCGAGATACGAAGCACCGGCCATCATCCGCAAGCCGATAGCTAGTCGGATCTTCGTGGGAACAGCACCGCCTTGATACCGTTTTCCTGTTTCGCATGAAGCACAGAATAAGCATAGCGTGAACGTATCAGCAGACGAAAATAGCAAGTTCTGGGCCAAGAAAGTGTTACCCTCACCCTAGTCAGACACCGGAGGTCACCGTCCTGCTGGTGTAAACCGTCCTGCTGGTGTGAGAGTGCGGGCGGTGGTGCTGCGGGATGATTCGGATTGATTCCTACAGCAGCTGCTAGCAGTACACGGACAAAGGACAAACGCCTGAAACAAACGCCTCTGTACAAGTTCCGGAATTTCGGACAATTTGTACATTTGTACCAAATTTGTACAAAAAATTTCCATGTATAAAACGGCCCTTAGCCTGCGACCACGGGAATGGTCCGCGTCGAGTGTGTAAGATTGAACGAAGGAAATCTGGGGTTTGTGGCGCGGGACTGAATCGTACAGTGGCAAGCAAACAAGAATTAGCGGGGAAGTTTCTGAGGAGGAAAGGGTTACCAGAAGAGAGGTGTGGTGACGTAGTGGAGTACACTTGTTCTGTGAGACGAAACGGGGAGTTGCTGTAGAGGTTACCGCGGTCTATTGTAGACA